CCTCCCCAAAACCCTCCTGCCGTGGGGTCTGGCCCGCGAAACACGGCCAAATTTGACCACTTTTGGGCTTTCCTAACCCCCACACCCCCTTAGTACAGACAGCAAAGCTGGACCTGGACGAAAGCGTGAGGAAGCTTTCGTAAAATCAGATGGAAACTAATCATGAAAATGATGCTGAAGCTGGAGTTCTCTACTCGATACAGAGGTTTAGGGATCTAAGGGTATAAACTATACTGTCAGGATTATGATCAGGCCATCTTCCCGATGCATGTGCCCTTGCCTGTTTTCGGGTGCAGCTCTGGGGCTTATAAGGTGTAAGCAGAACATCTGAGAGGCTCATGAGTATGAGTGTTCTAGGGCTAGCTGGCTTTAGCAAGGTTATGTTCTGTATAAAAAATGCGATACCCGAATGGAGGATATAATCTTACTGTATATTGGGTACCATAGTACTCCCCAGTAAAATCCTACTCATTTAATTGGCTTTGATAAGAGTTATGATAGGGATTGCTGCAGAGGATTCTAGTGGCGTAGAGAGTTGACGTAATGGCTTTTGGATATGTCTCACGCATGGCATACTGCAGTACCCTTCCACGATTACTACGAAGGAAACTTATCAGGGACACTTCAAGCCTCCAGAAGGCAAGAGAACTAAACCCTGCTCGTTGGTCCCTGTAGCCTAGTAGAGCTTCTCAACTTCCTGAGCCTTTTGCGCTGAAGTCTGAACCCTGAACCCGAAACTCCATCACCTAAACTGCCTCGGCCCCACACTTCTGAAACCTGGGTTTGCCCCTAAAACCCTTTGAAAAATATTAGTATATAGGGTCCCTCATTAAAGCCATTAGGGAAAATATTAAATATCCCAGGGGCCTACCCAGAAACCCTGAACTAAAGCAGAGCCCTAGGAGCTATGCAGGTGGTGGCTGAACCAACACGATGGCTGCAGCTACCGTCGCCTCACAGAGGAAAGGCTTAAGGGTTGCAAATGGTTCGAGGATGGCTTAGGGTTCAGGATTAGATTGAGGCATGTAGAAGTCCTGCGAATTCAGCCATCCCTCTCCGAATGGGTTTACGCGGTTCAAGGTTTAGAGTCTTAGGAGAGGGATACGGAAATGGAACAGGTCCGATCCCTCTGAAAATAACCTTTGTCTTCACCCTGAAACGTGCCTTGCGTTTCACTAACCAACATGATGGTTGAGGTTTCTCAGAGCTAAACGACAAAAGAGATTTCTGCCAATTGCTTCATAGTTCGGTACAGTACAGCACGCAACAAGATCTTGCTGAGGCTCGTACTGGAGACTTCAACGTTTGATCGATACTACGAGGACAGTGGGCACCCTTCTTAGTTGGCCAGTAGTGCGTGGCGATCATGCGACATGTTCTTTCTGTACAGCTTCGAGCATTCCAAACCGGACAGCTTGCAACTCCTGAACCCGAAGCTGTTGATGTTAAACTTGTTAAAGCTCCAACGAAGTACCCTGCGGAACGAACAATCCTCTTGTGTAGTATTCATACTTGAGGATATATCCTTCACCATTATCCCGCAAGATGCTAGGTAGCTGAGCCACGGAGTTCCATCTGCCAGGTGATGCGCTCCGTGGTACCAGTAAGGAAACCTGCTGCGGCAGATGAATCAGGAGTGGCAAGCCTAAGTCGCAGCTAAGCCTGTCTGAGCTTTCAAGATTTTTTCAAATCGAGATGTGGCACTTTGGGCTTGCAGAGAAGCACTGAAGAGGAAAAACAGCTGGATGTCACATCCGCATCCCTCATACTTAGCCGGTAGGCCCTTGAACTCTGGGAGCCCAAGGCCAAAGCAGCTTGGCCAACCCTTCTGCTATCACTATTGTCAGCCATACTCGTCCTAGCAACCCCTGGGTTCGTTGCTGCAACATGTCATCAGTTGCCAGGTGAAAGTAGAAGGTCCAACCAGCATGCTTCGAGAAGACTCACAGGAACGAGACTGTTTCATGAAAGTACCAGATCTGGGAGGGCAGAAATTTGGTTCCGTGTCCTGACAGATCTGTCTGTGAGAGTTCGCGATCATGCCATCCAAACGTTGCGCTCCGCCTTCGGTGGTGGATTCGACATCCGCCACAATTGCCTGCGCAATACCTGAGCCATCCCAAACTCATCAGCTAGACATTAGCAGAGGCACCGGCACCTGCGACAAGCAGCCTCTGACAAGTCTGTTGAGTATACCGTATGCGGCTGCGATCACGTGGTTTTGGGGTATTTCCATGTGCGTATACCAAGACCGACAGCCCCATTTACAGCCCACCTATGGCCTGCGGTAGAGGGACGAGAAGGAATGTGCAGAAGTCACTGCAGGTTTGACGTTCTAGGTTCAACGAACATGACTATTTCTGTAGATTGAGTTCGTCCATATACCCCCGTCATTCTTCATACCTGGACCGAAAAATGAGCCTGAATTCAGACTGCCCCGCAAGTTCTGGTAGCAGGCAGTTCACGACTTTAAACAGAGAACAAACCTTGCTGTCGTCTAGCAGGGTTAGTAGGGAATGAAGGAACAGGATATGAGCTGCAGTCGAAACTCCCAGTATACCCCTTACTAGCCCCTTTAAGGAGTTTAGGGAGTTTAGATTATGGCCCATATAGGGGTCAAACCTGAAATCTTGATCGAGCGGCTTGGCGAGATACGGTCCGATGTGGCAATCTCTTCCTGATACGATGCACACTGCTGGGTCCATCTTTAGCCGAGTACGGAGGTTTGCGGTAGCCGCCTTTAAGAGTAATGCAATAAAGAAGCACCCCCAAAGCAGGAGTGTTGCAACTGCAGCCACCTTGTTAGTACTATACAATACCTACCTTATGAACCTCCCAGCAAGTCATGCAGATGCACATCGGCGCCCATCTCACATCAACACCCCCCTGCTAGAAGACGACCTAAATGCAAGGCAAGTGCAGGGCGGAATTATCAGAAAACGGGACTGGAATTTCGGAGCAGTAGAGAGCCTTCACAGGCACTTACTAGGTTGGGCTGTACGCTCAGCGTAGACGTGTACTGTGATGTATTGCCAGTCTAGATAGCAAGCACCACCTCCACCCAGAGGTCTACTCCAAAGACTAAAATGCTTGTAGGCCAGGTCCAGGTCCTCGCAGGGCAGCAGCTCGCGCACCCATCCGGAGCATTTAAGGCTCTCATCATCGGCGCCCTTCAACGGACAGGAATTCGAACATGTTTGTGACATGGACTGACCATGTTTTGAACACTGCCTTGAGTCCCAAGTTCAATGGAACTGTAAGGAAGAAGAGGAGAAGTCCTTGAGGTGATGCATTCCTCTTTCCGTATCTGATGCTGGGAGGACCCATGCTGACCTTATTGTACTGCGGAGGCGAGCATACTTCATTCGTATTCTTGCTCTGTGAGTATGCAGCCAATCAACTGCCAAAGCCCATCATAGACGCAACAGCAAGCAAAGCCTCCTAAAGTTTGTAGATTCTGAATCTCCGACCCTGTCTGATCCTCGCACCCATCTTCAGAGGATAGACCACCCAATTTCCAGCCCCTGAACCTGCATGGTCTTCAACGTACTGTCATACAAATCTTCAAACTTCGTCCGCAAAAGGCGATCAGCCATATCCACATCAATCATTCGGCTCCCTGCTTCTAGAGAAGCCTTTCATGTCTAGGAGGAGATCAGGAAGCCTGCAGACGTCGAGCTCCAGGAAACTGGACTTCCTCCGTGGTGACTTCATATCCTGAATTTCGCGGCGACTCTACTTCATATATATGTATACACATTATAGACGCAGACATTCAATCCTTTAACTCGCTCTTGTGTGTTGTTGAATTTCAGGGTCAGGTTTGTTGCGCCTGCACCTTGCTATCCCTCTACTTCAAGTGCTCCCCTGCCTGTAAAAGGTGATCGCCACACACTAGTGGGCACCCTGAGGTAGCCCAGTTCTCACAGGCTCGAAGCCCCCCAAATGAGAAGTCACTGCTCTTCAAATACTGTAAAAAACTGCTCAAACAGTGAGACGGTATCAGTAAGAACATGTCGTCTACGAAATCGGTTGAACAAACCACATCAGTAATGTCTTGCCATGTAACACGGCTGGGGGGGTGTAGGCATAGGTTTTCACTTTGCACAATCCAGTGGCTGCACCTCAACCATCTTCAACAATCATCCAAGCCTTGACCAGACCACCAAACACCAACAGCCACTGCGGAAAATGCAGCTGAAAGCTCATGAAGCTTACCTTGTTTTCACAGTGGCCCCTGTGTGCACCCTTTAGGCCAATCCTATTTCCCTGGCCCGGGGCACAGAAGCCTTGCAGAATGAATTAGACACCAGTGAACACGGGTCCCTGTCAACCAGAATCCCGACAAAGACTAACCCCACCACCGTGGTGAGCGGTGAGGACTACCAGCAGCCGCAGATCCTAAAATTCAAAACCGAGCATCTGGTGTCTGCCCAGGGCAGGGGCAGCATCACCATGCTCTGCCTGGGAAAGGCTGTCGAACGACCATGTGGTGGTGTGGCGGTTCTGATGTTCTGCATGGCTGGTTTCATGCATAGGGTGGGACAAAACAACCAGGACTCGTTGGGTGATGGAATTAATCTGGGTCAGGTTGCTGCTGCTGCAGGTCTAAGATTCTTGGGTGTTTCAAGCTCAGACACCTAGGCCTGGGCTCAGGGCCTGGGACGCTGCAGCATCTTAAAAGATGTGAGGACGGAGGTGTGCTGGGCTTGCTTGATGCTTGGATCCGCCAGGTTCGCCTGAGTTCTGTACACTTGAGCATGGCGCAAAACCGAGGTCCCTCTTCAGCCTCTCAAAGCCTCTTTTAACCCATTTTCAAAACAAGCACGCGCACGAGGGCTGGGGCAGCCTCCTGAGCATGACCGCGGTTGGTTGCTCTGTAGATACAGATGGAAATAGTCCTGTTCTAACCCCAGGCCAAGCCGATCCTTTGAGCTTTCGGAACAGAGTGGTGCTTCAATCCCTGGGGGCCCCGAAGCTCCGTCTTGCAGAAGTTCTGGAAACCTCAGCAGAAACTGCGCCGACAAGCTGCATGATGTCATTGTTCAGTGCGTCTGTGGCCCAGCACAGCACATCGTAAGTCGAATTCTCCCGCAGACTGTCAGGGAAGGATAGCTGTGTTCCAGCAGAGGGCATGGGATGCGGGTTGATGATTTTCAGGGCTTGTCATGTCAGACTGCGCGAAGTCTTCCATCACGAAAGGCAAGCAAGTTTGTCAGCCTGGGTCCTTATATTGCAAATACCCCAGAGCCCTATGAAGCCTATAAGTGCCACCTTTACTCAGCGTGTAGTTCCGGCTTCCTAAATGTCACAGAGAAGGGCAAACTTGGTCCTGAAGGCGTTATGTAATAAAAGCGGTAATGGAATTAAGTGAAAAGTTCCTCCAATGGAAGACTGAGTGACCCTAAGCAAGACAAGAAGGAGGGTCTGAATTGAAACGGTTCCTTGAAATAGTCCCTAATACGGCATTGATTTGGAACAATCCCTAACAGGTCCTGCTTTGGAATACTTCCCAGTAGAACCCCGAATTGGAATGGTTCCCAACATGCCTAATCCAAAATATTCTATTATGGATTATTTCAAACAGTCTTTCATGTAGCCCTAGTTTGCACTACGTTGTCTCAAGTAAAGCTGTCATGCGCAATGGTTGTTCATAGGGCCTGAACTTGACAAATTCCCAAATAAGGCCTGAAAATCCGTACTTCCTAGCAAGGGCTTCGTTGGAGAATCTGTTGCCAGAGGGCAACGACTCCCTCTCAAACCACTTTAGAAATAGCCAGGACGTCACATTTCTTGATAGGTAGTATACTGCGAGCCTGGAAACAAAATGAGATAAACCCTAAACCCTAAACCGTGAAAATGTCTCGGAAAATACATAACAACCCAGTCCTGGGCGTGTCTTCCAAGTATAAGTCTTTGGGAGCTTCCGCCCCATTCAGACCCATTCGGAAACCAGGAACTTTTCCTATGTCTTCAGCAGGCAGCTGTTCCCAAATGTGCTTTCGAGGGCCTAGACTATTTGGAATCAAAGCCCAGCACTAAAAGCTGTAAACCAAGACCCAACACCTGCTTCCGGCATATTACATCTACTGATGGAAGGCACTGCAATGTACAACTCCTCAACACGCCAGGGAAAAAGACGCTGCCTTGGTATAGTCAAGTTCTGCGCCCTCGCTTCAGTGAAGTTGGCGTGGAAAGGCAGGGCGAATAAACGCTGCCACCAACTCCTGGAATCTGGCTTCTTGTGGAGATGGAGGAAGTGACAACACATTGGAAACTATGAGCAGTAGGACGAACTAAACTGGTACTTGTCCGGGTAGTACGAAATGAGGCGTTATCAATATGTACTACTGGCATCTGCCTTGCCTGCATGCTACTGGAAAACAGGACTACTTGTACCACTAATGCTGCGTATTGTTCATTGCAAAGTGCCCGAACTTCTGAGCCCCTCGCAAAATCCAAGCTCAAGCCCCAAAGACTTCCTAGCGCCCAGCAAAACCCATCTCCAGCGCGCGGTCTGCATCTCTTGCGCTTTGGTTCCATCGGCGAAGGCATCCCAGGCTTTGAGCCAGGTGGAGTTGTCCTGGGTAGCATCAGGCATCCACATGGTTCAGAAAAACAGTAGTGATGAGTTAAAGTAGTAATGGTAGTCATAGGGTTCAGACTAGAACTTGAGATGTAGAAATTCACGGACTACGGTTAATGTAAGGCTTGCAGTGTCAAAAGTCTTCAGGATCCTCTGCTTACTTGGCGGTTAGGGAAATACTTCAGCCAGGTACTATGCAGGGCTACTGTTGCCAGGTAAATCGGACACAATTCCAGGGTCCCTCCAGCTAGAAACCTGAACGATGGGCCTAAGGTGCGGGGGTGAGGGTATGGTATGATTGTATTGAAGGAGGATTTGAAGGGCATGATCTGCCTAATGGCTGAAGTTTCCAGAATGTATGCGCTGCCCAGCAGCGTGGTCGAGGGCGTGCAGCTTCAAAGTGTTTCAAGGAAATTTCGAATCTGAGGAGTTCACTGGCTCATTGTGCCTAAAATACCGCGATCCTTTCATGTTGAATCTGGCAGCCACACAGCCGCCCAATGCTTGCAAGACCCCTCCCAGAGTCAAAGCGCAAAGGGAGCTTGTCAACATACTCCCAAAACAATTGCCAGAGCCAACCTCTATCACTCCTTAGTGGCCCTAGTACTTGATCCCTGCATATGGCATAGACTCAGGATCCGTGAGGGTGCAACCCCCACCCCCAAATCGCTGAGCATTCTGACTGCATTGGTAGATGACGGCTGCGGGAAAGACACTCCGACAAGGAACACAAAACAAAACAACAAATAATACCCTTGTAATGGCTACTCGTCAATGTCCAGGAATTTGAACTTGAACACTGTGCTGACAATGTTTATGCTTGCAGTGGTTCTTGTCGTGGTTGCTTGAAAGGACCATGCTCCTGAATAGTCACCAACGATGAAATGCTGTGGGCAGCCGCACACCTTACAAAACTCCGCACGCCCCCCATTTTCGCTTATGACAAACCCTGTGGCCCCGCTCCTAGTATCTTAAGAACTTGAGATTGCATGTGCCCAGTGCCAAGCGTCGTCAGAGAACTCTACGCTGACGTTGTTTGCCCCACAGGGAGATCCGGTTGTCTCCTTGGCCACGCAATGCAATCCATGACCACACATGCTATAAGGCGCAGCAAGTCAAAAGGCACTGCCAAAGAAATCCTAAAACGTCTGCCGCGGCAGACTTGGGAGGCATGCCAACAACGTTCATGAACCCGCCCGGGCCCAATGCAGCTAGCTACTGTACCTAGTGCCATCATCAGGCTCGGTGTGTTTGAACAACACAGGCATGAACCTGGGTCGCATCGATTTCGCAAAGCTGTGCGGCTCAGCTTCGTTTCCAGCATCCCCGTAGTCGAACTTAACCTACAGGCATGGGCTTTACTGCAATATGACCTGTTCTCACTAGAAACTTGTCTGTACGGGCCGGGCTATTTGAAAATCCCATCAACGGGAGAGATCCAAATTAAGTGCCAATGCCGTGGCCGAATCTTGCGCAGAATGGGCAACAAGCACAGTAGTTGTGACTTTCATTGCTGCCAACCCTTCCTTCTACTGCTGTTCTGCTTGATCTGCGGCTGTTTCTCTTCTAGCGTCCGGACGCTGGCCAGATTCAAAATCATCAGTAGTATATTAGGGGTCCCTTTTAAGGGTTATATAGGGCTATATAGGGGATACCATAGTATATAGTAGGGGTTAATTATAGGGATAATGGAAAAGAAAATGGAAACTACTATATTATATTAGGCCATCTCAGCTCATAACACTCGCAGCCTGGGTCACTGTGGGCAGCGGCTCCGCAAAAATCTCCACCTGCACAGAGCGACTTTTTTTGAGGTAAGGAAGGTGTAGACAGTGTAGGCCCACTCGATTTTTCCGGGCAGCGGGTCTCCCAGCCCTACTGCCTCTCGTTGATCTTCCTTTTGAGTGGCTTCTAGTGCCTATATGTCAGAAGAGGTATGAGGGAATGCTTTGATTCTGCAAACTACATGTTCATCATCTCGGGTGACCCTCATCTGCTGCAACACCACGAAGCACAGCTTACGTTCAATCAACTAGGATGAGTCAGGTTGATGTCTGCCACAACCCGCCTCACAAAGTTGTAGCCGCTTGCCCTCTGGCTTCGCAACAACCCAGACCTTGCTGTGGGGCTGAGGAAACAGAAGCAGCCTTGTATCAGGGATATGCGTGCGCCTGGACAGACATTATGGACACCCGTCTGTCACGAAACAAACACTTCTTGAGCTTGCCGTCAACATGGAGATGTGGGCTAGCTTGTAAGCAAAGAGGCGGTGCTGCCCCGGCTTTCCTCGCAGGTTGACCCAGGCACACAACCGAATCTCTACCAAGACGAATTTTCTGGTGGTACGCTTTGGCTTCACAATTCTCAGATCCTTTATCCAGCTGATTCCGACCTCAAGCTGCCCTTAACCAAAAATTCGGGCACCTATAGTGCACACAGGAGTGACAATCCATGAGCCCCAGCTTCTTCGAGATGGAGTATGTAAAGAGGGACACCGCACTCTAACCTGACCGAAGCCTGTAGCCTGCAATCCAAAACCTCCCTTGGCCGGAAACCCTATAAAGCCGGCATCTAATATGAACACATTCTCATCTCTATGCAAACTGGCTTGACTGCTTTTGTTCTACAAATAAGGTGAACAGACTTCATGAAAGCAGTCTCAACCCAGGCTTTCAGCAAACCGTGGCCGTTTCTAAGAAGCCATTTCGTTCATCAGACATGTTCGAGAGCTTAAGTGGGGTTGTAAGTGGACAGCAATCGGCTGCAAGTAGACATATGCTATTCATAGCCTCAATTCGTGAACCTTCAAATACCGGATCTTGAAAATTCAGTCCTGCAGGCAGGAAATCGGTAGAGGTGGTCTGAACGCATCCTGTCA